GCAACAGTCAACACGAATCACACCTGTGGTTGCTTCTATCTGCGGCAGGTTCTTGGAAAACGCGGAAAAGTTCTTCACATCTCCACATCCGGGATATCATTTCATCGCTGTGAAGCTGGACAATGTGATCTGGACAACGGTCTCCAGACCCAGGACAGCTAGCTCTAGATTCTGGATTCTAAACTCCACTCTAGACTCTGGGTGTTTGCTGAAGCTTGTTGCCGGTGCGGTGTGATGTCAGACTCTTGATTTTACACATGTCGTGAGGGCTACTGTGCAGGCACTGAGTGTGTCGGTTAAGCTGAGCTTCTGCATGAGATGTCGGCTTGGATTCGTACTCGCTTCTGCTCCAGCAGGGGGTCAGCCCGGTGGTTAGAATCGGGCAGGATGCAGCCATGTCAAGGCGGACAGAGGAGTCTCAGACCGCAGATGGTCGACGAGTCAATCGGCTGGGCAAGACAGGCAGCCACTTGTTGCGACAAACCCTGCGCGATCTCCCGCAGATTCCCGAACCATCGAATGTTGAGGAGGATGCAGACGCAGAGCAGCGCTGCCGCGGCGCATGCTTAGGAGCACTGTTCGTGAACCGAGGGAGATGCAGCTAGCTTTAACTCCTTATGTCAGTTCGACGCCTGCGGATTCATTGGAGTTGCAGCTGTCGGTAGCAGCGTCCACATGGTTCAGGGACAGCGAGAAGCCATTGGATGACCCAGACGATCCTTTGCTTGCTGTTAGCAACCGCCTACTTTGCACAGATGGGCGGGCGCAGATGACGTTACGTTCAGAGGCCGAGTTGTTGCATGTGCCACGCGCAACACTCCGGAGAGACATGATAGAACTGGGGGCTGCTGCATATGCCTCCGGCACCTTCGCGTGGAATGCTCACTTCCGTGCCCTTTCCCAACGGCTACAGAAGGGGACGTTGAAAGGCCTCATGCTGATCAAAGCTCGGTGTTACGATGAAACACCGCTCCGGCTTCGTTTGCTGCACAGCACTTCGGCATGCAGATCGAGCATGCAGCCTGCCTCACACAAAGCTCTGGCCAAAACCTGGATGGTCAGATGTTCTTTTGGCACTGCGCCGTCCCAACGCCTCTGCAGGCGCTTGAGAGGACACGAGGGGAAGAACTTTGTGCGGCACAACATGATGTGCTTCAAGCCGTTCCTGAGCTTGACAACATCGCTCGGTGGTGTGACTTGTCAGTAGATCTGACAACCGCCGACAGGTACATGGCAAACTTCAAGGCCGAGCGTGGTCTGCAGGCCATGCACCCAGCAGACACACCATTACACTTCGACTGTGAAGTTCACAAGGTCACCTCCTCATGTACTTGGATGTTGAAACCGGTGGAGTCAGACATCTCCGGGCTCATTGCCTCTTCCTTGATTTTGAGAAATGCAGGCTCCCTGAATGCCTTCAGACAGCACTTCATGGAAGTTGTGCGAAGCTCCTTGGTCATGAACTATGCCCCCGAACCGAGCCAGTCTGAAACATACAGAGAGCAGATCTACAGTCTTTATCTGGGTGTGAACATCACAAGGGAGGATGATGTGGCGAGGCTCCGGAAGCAGAGATCTGCGCAAAGAGCGATTCTGGAGTGCTACTTGGCGGGAAACCTGGAAGATTCCAGCTGTGTGGAGTTCTGCACACGTGGGAAAGACATATCCCGTGCCAACGTTACCCCGCCACCGTTGGTTCGGTGGCGAGTGTGCTGTGGATTGGGCAGGTCTACTTGAATCTCATCACTGTTTATTCACAAGGACTATGAAGCACTGGCTCGGAGCAGAGTTCTCTTTATGTTCTGTGCGGGAAACCGATGAACAGGATGCGTGGACTGCTGATGTGGCTGCACTCCTGAATCAAGGTGCCGAAGCCATGCATCAGGACATGGAAGAGCCAGATTTTCCTGCCGAAACAGAAGAACCGAGTGCAGAGCAGCCCGTGGCGCATAGGCCGTTCTTGGCATTTGTTTCTTGTTGTTGCAGACTCTAGCTGACTCTAGCTAGCTGCAGCTAGCTTATGAAATGCTTGAGGGCCCCTGAAGTTGTAAATTTTAGAATCATAGAATTTGGAAATTGACCAAGGAGCCGAGGGATGCATTCGACTGGGCAGAATTCAACCGTTCCATGAGGAAGAAGGTGTTCACGTGGATGCAGGCAGGGCTAAGCTACCTGAGCCTCATGCGCTGGTCCATGAGCATCACTACCAGATTGCTTGGCCGCATGCTTCGTGTCTCCAGCACGAAATGGGATCGTGAGTAGGCATTGAGGGAAGAACCAAGCTACCGGGTTCTCGAAGCATTCATGAAAAGAGATCTGGACGAAGCGTTCGCGGAAATCGAGCGATGCTTTCGCAGCAGCCCACCTGGTTTACCGAGAGTGCACTGGATTCGCAGCAAGAGAAATCTCAGCTTCCTTCTGTTGTCGCGGCTTGCGGGGTGCTTGGACTTTTTGTCGGCATCCCTTCGAGAGAGCTGCCCTTTCCTGCTAGCTGGTCTGATCGCCGATCCAGTTCAGTGTCTGCGTGCGGATACTTCCGTCTGTTAGGTGTGGGGCGTAGGTACGTAGCGAAACCAAAACTCATGATCCGTCTCACCTCCTTTGCTCGAGTTTCTAAAAGACAATATGATTTCTCCTTTGACAATTTGTCGTGAGAGATTTCCTTTTTTCCAATGCTTTCATGTCCGATTTATTCGAGTGCGAAGCATGATCATATCTGAAGCATTGGCATCTCAAGATTTTCTGTTTTCCCACCCGCCCAACCCTGGGGGATGTGGAGTGATGCTACCAGGTATGAGTGATGTCAGAGAGGTCTCCTCTGCCACTCCTCTCTTTCGCCCCCGTTCAAAGACCGAGCAACTGCGAGGTGGAGAGTGCGGAAAACGAAGGCTTGTCCGTTGAGTGAGTGATGCGCTGAGCTGATGATATTTCATAAATTCATACACATCTTCTCGACGAGTTTACCGTTTGGAATATGTCGCCATTTATATCATCTCTTTTTATATTCCAGATATTTCTGAAATATGTCAAGAGTTTTGGTCCCACCTGACAGACGTTCAGTGTCTGCGTGCGGATACTTCCGTCTGTTAGGTGTGGGGCGTAGGTACGTAGCGAAACCAAAACTCATGATCCGTCTCACCTCCTTTGCTCGAGTTTCTAAAAGAAAATATGATTTCTCCTTTGACAATTTGTCGTGAGAGATTTCCTTTTTTCCAATGCTTTCATGTCCGATTTATTCGAGTGCGAAGCATGATCATATCTGAAGCATTGGCATCTCAAGATTTTCTGTTTTCGGGCGCTGGGCCGTGCCATGTTGGTTACAGCGGTCGTGGTGCCGCATGCCTCTTGCACGAGCCTGTGGAGCTGCTTACACGGCTCAGAGCGCAAACGATTGATTTCCGCAAGCCGTGAAACTGATGGCTTCTGTTTGAGGAACCTTCGTCTGCATGCTGAGTCTGCGACTAGCTCCAATGCCAGGCACCGATTGGAGGCTTTGGAAACTTCCGACGAGGATGCGACCCGACGGGCAGATCGAGGCGGTTCCTCAGAGCCCAGGGTGTCTGTTGCGCCCGACGATACCCAGCCCTGGCATCTGTCAGACATCACAGTCTGTCCGCGGCGACTTGGGCGCTTCGCTAAGGGTTTCCGAGTCTGGCGTCGCCGTCAAGCAGGGAATGCACTTGCCAGGCAGATGGTGGCTATGGCGCGAGCTGTCACTTCGGCTGGTTCGGATAGCGATATGGAGACAGTCCAGGTGGAGGGGCCAGAGTCTACGGCTCTGGCCACGGCGTTTGGCCATAGCCTGCGGGCGGAGAGCCAGCAATCCGGCCTGTCTCTCGAACTCCTCGATGGAAGCATCCATGCAAGCGCCCAGAGGCTCGACCAGCGCATCTCCCTCCTGTTCGACGTGAACGCAGAACTGGGTCGCAGATTGACGTTGGCAGAAGGTATAGGCTTCACGAGCTCGAGGCCCAGGCGCGTGAACCCCATGGTGGCGAACCTGGTCCGGAAGATGATGCTGCCCCCACCGGAGCTGGCGACAACTGAGCCTCCTTGATGCCTGAGTGCGCTTCTGCCTGACGGCCGTTTCTTGAGTCATGTGTCTTCATTTTCAGGCCTAGGCGGCATTTTGACAAGTTGCTCTCAGTTTCGCTCACCAAAGGTGCTCTTGTTGCCTTCCTGGAAGGTCTAGCATCTGGAGTCCAAAATAAACCATTCGCCACGGAGTCAGTGCTTGCCCAGATCCCTGGAGTCTGCCTCGGCCCGTGACCCCTACCCCTCACTTGCGCAGTGAGAGCTTTCAATTATATGCCCGTGCCGTCCAATCGGATCGAGTCGCGGAGAGCATGTTGTGTACTTGTCATGTCAGCAGGTTGCTTTCAGGATTGCCAGTCTTTCATCTTCACAGACTCAACATAAGTTCTGCTCGTGCTTCAGTCAGCCATGGACGCGCCGAGCCCTCGGTCACTCTCCAGCCTGCAAGGGTCGTCTTATGATTCTGTGACGTCAGACAGCAGCAGCCATCTGTCCGCTTCTGACATCAATGAGCGTCTTGTGCTGACCCTGCGTGTGCGAATGCACACAAGCTCTGCTGCTTCGCTGCAAGTGCAGCGTCTTCAAGAACTTCATCCTTCGAGGCCAGCTGGTGTCATTTTGTGCCAGCAGACGGTTCTCTTGGGGTTCTTCTTTTCTTAGCCCCGCAAGAGTGGCAAGCCTTGCTCATCAGTGCAGCCACCGTGCGACTTCGCTTGCAGCGATTTTTCAGTCTTGATCCTTGGTGCCGGTTGCCCCACGTTTCCCGGCTCCCTGCTCCTTCGGGTTTTTTCGGTTTAGGCCTCAACCCTGTGCTACATTTCCGTGGGCCCCTGCTTCGGGCGGGGGAAACAACAAGCAGGTGCCGATTCTTCAGGTGTTACTCTTTCCAATAGCTGGGTCTTGCGACGTGCCGGGAGCTCCGAGAGTTTGAAAAGCAGTTCGTTCGATGATCGGTTGTGCATCAGGTGCTTGCCGACGAGACCTTGCCATCGTGTTGTTAGGACCCTTCACGGCTCGAGATGACTCTGCTTTTCGGAGATCGTAGGGGGCCTAGAGGCTCCGGGATTGGTGATGGGGCTGGTTTCGACAGTGTCAGCCAGGAATTGGGTTCTCATGCCGAGGACTCGCTTCCCAGCCCGAGGATCTCCCTAGTGACCCTCTGGAAGCCGCTTCGTGGTCACATGTGGATGGCTCCCGTGAGGAGGCAGCCTGGCACCAAGGTGCCGCAGATGTTGATGGAGACGTAGAGCCGGTTGTGAAGAAACCCAGCACACAAGCGGCCGAGATTGGCAGCTCGGCCCCGTTGCATCCAGCAGTTGTCCAGGCGCTCCTTGAAGAGAGGCGGAAGCCAGTTTGAAGCAGCGTTGGGAAACTGGCTTCGGCAAGGCAATCTTCGGGAGGTCAGGGGGGTGCGACTTCACTTTCCCTTTTCAGTTGCCTATGTTGGGAAGAGCTGACATGTTTGCAGAGATCGCTTCGTCTTCATCAGGCAGCCATTACCCCACGTGGCACCTCGACAATCCCTTCAGAGCGAAACGCCTCTTTGCGACTCGCATGGCGAGGTCCGAGGATCAGCTCCGCGCTGCAGCTCTTGCAAGGATTAAAGAGATCGTCCTCTTCGACCCCAACGACTCGAGGCTGGAGCGGTCTCTGCTTGAGTCCAGTGGGCTGTTGTTACCAGAACACCAGCTGGCGACAGTGCTGTCGGACACCTTTGCTCGCAAGGCAACAAGTACCCTGGCTAAGAGGTCATGTGACTTCTTGAAGTTCTCCAGGTGGCAAGTACAGGTCAACTCTGCCAAGCCCCTACGGGCTTCTGAGCAAGACCTCTACAAGTACGTCTGTCATCTCCGTGACAGTGCCGCGGCCCCTACCTCATTGGCAGCCTTCATTTCAGCATGGAGATTCTTTCATTACACGGTCGGCAGTGACGCTGACCCCTCAATCGTATCGCAGAGAGTGGAAGGAGCTGCACACACATGCTATCTGCGCAAGGCTCCGCTTAAACAGGCTCCACCTCTAACCGTCCCGCTGGTCCAACAGCTGGAGGACATCGTGCTAGAAGGCAATGACGTCTATGCGGTGATTGCCGGTTTTGCCCTCTTCTGCTTATTCTCTGCTGCTCGGTGGTCAGACGCAGCGAAGGCTAGCGGGCTGTCGATTGACTCACATGGGAGTCTGTATCTGGTGGAGGCCCTTATGTTAGGGCACAAGACTTCGAGGCAGGCTGATGACCAAACCACGTTCATGCCGCTGATTGCTCTGGGGCACACCTTTCAGGATTTGCCGTGGGCGACCGCATGGATTTCGGCACGCACAGGGCCGAACTCGACTCTAAGCCAGTCCTCATGCCTGCGTATGCAGAACAGAGCCGTTCGTGGCTGGATCGACCCATGACTTCGGCCGAGGGATGCTCCTGGTTGCAGGAGATACTGCATGGGGATGAGTTTGACCAGGCCACGGTCGCCAAGGTCACTACTCATCCTCTAAAGGCGACTCCGCTTTCGTGGGCTACTAAGAGCGGGCGCTTTGACAAGCATGAGAAACGGATCTTGGGCCATCATTCGTCGCCAGACGAGCGGATGATTGTGACTTACGGACGAGATGTGATGTGCCCGGTGCTTGCAAAGCTGCAGCATGTCATTGATCTCATTCGCGCCGGGCGGTTTGACCCAGATCAGACTCGTGCCGAGAGAATGTCATCCATGGTCATGCGCCTCAACGAAGAGGCAGAGATTGATGTACAACCCGAGCGCCGGGTCGAAGACTTAAGGCGACTCGACGAGTCCGAGCAGTCCGATGTGTTTCTTGAAGACCACGAGAGGCTCAACGAACACCCCAGCCTGGTGCCAGGGCTGAGAGACGACCCTGAGCCGCCGGAGACAGGGTCTTATGTTCGTCACAAGGTCTCGCTTATCGTGCACATCCTTATGGTACCTGCCTCACTGTTGAGATGCGGGAGACCATTCAATCACAATTATGAGGACTGCTCGTTCAATCCGGATCAGCCGCGCGAGGATATCTTGTGCGAACAGTGCAAGGCCGCGCGAGCATCGGTATGAATCCTCTTGAATCAGATCCAGACCTCCGAGCAAGCAAAGTGCAGCTGAGTGCGAGTGCCTGAACCGTGTTCCAATGCCCATGACGCATTGAGACTTTAGCGACCGATTCAATTGCCGATTTGAGCATTGCCCAGGCGAAAGTGTCAGGACCACCCTTCCGCTAGCTTTGCTGATCGGAGTGCCATGGCATCCACTATGTTAGAATCTGAGGCCGAGTTTGCAGCACGGGCCCGCCAGATCAACATGGACGAGGCTCTTTTCTCGGCCATCCAGGGGGCCGGCATCACAAGACCTTTGGCAGACTGGCGTACATCTGTGCGATCAGTCCCCAGAGCGGGGATGACACTCCCCTTCTGGAAGCGGTCGAGAAGTTACTCGGGAGGCGACTTGAGCCGGCCGAGGTTCCAGACTTGCGCCGCCTTTGCTACGAGGCGAACACCTTTGCAATTTCGACCTCAAGCTCAGGGTGGAGCGCTCATCTTTGGACCCACCTCGCGAACTCCCCCCCTTGGCAGAGCGGATGACTCGCCTTCAGAATCAGAAGAAAAGGCTTCACGGCATCATCTTCACGGAGAGAGTCGAGCCGGCCCACTCTCTCATTGACAAGCTGCAATCCATGTTGGAGTCGGGTACGCTGGTCTACTTGCCTCCTCACAAGTGCCCCTCACGGGCCTTGGAGATTGCCAGTGACAAGCCCGCTCAGCAAGTCACCCTCGACTCGCAGGGAGCCCTCAAGATCTCCAAGAAGCACAGCGACCTTGAGTGCGATGTCCGAGGTGAGCTTCGGTTGCGTGAGGCCTTCACGCGTCGCGCTCTGGCTTTCGATCAGATCGGATTGATGTCTTTCTCTGTGCAGGAGGGATGGCACACGTACATGTTTGACGCTGTGACTCGAGATCCTCCGCCGGGGCATAAGTTCACCAGCATCGCCCAAGCTTTGAATGCTGATCGAGAACTGTGGCAGCTCATTGCTCAGGAGAGTCGAGGCGAACTCAAGGTCGTTGGTGGTGCCCAGCCGCCCCTAGACTCTAGACAACTTCATGGACCGTTTTCAGACTCATACCCGGGTCAATGTTTGCTTGGCCAACCTCAACCTCCCTCAAGGATCCTTCACCCGTGAGGGTAAAGGAAACAAGGGCGACGGCAAGCATGGTGAAGGCAAGGACGGCAAGGGTAAGTTTTGTCGCATGCCGCCTCCTCGCAAGGATGGCAAGTGTATCCCATTGATCATCACAGCAATCGATTTGAACCGAAGGTTTCCTTTTTGCCCATTGACTTGAGCACTCTCTCTGCACAGCACCTCATGGATGACTTGGTCCACCAGATGCGACCTCTGTGGATCCATTGTGGGATCCCGTGTGGCACCGCCAGCCGAGCCCGGCAGCTTCCGATATCGGGTCGTCTAAAGCTCTGGGAGTGCCATCTCCTAGGCCCTTACGATCAGCCAAGTTCCCTCTCGGGTTGCCGGACCTCACATCCTTTGAAGCCGCCAAGGTTGAGTCAGCCAACGCTGTTTACCGCACTTGTGTTCGCGTACTCTTCGCTGCTTACAAGGTCAACTCCATCGTCAGCATCGAGAACCCCGCGCGGGCGTGGACATGGGCTGCATTGGCAGCTCTTGTTGTGCAGTTCGGACGAGAAAATGGTTGCCCTGACTTTGTCGATTGGTACTTCAACCTCCAGGATGTCTTCTTTTCCATGTGTATGCACGGAGGCCAACGCAAGAAGGACACCCGTCTTAAAAGCTCGCCTCAGGTCTTCAGCTCGCTGGCCGCCCCATGTGACGGCCGACACTCCCACGAGTCCTATGGCCAAAAGCGCGAGGGCGCCACTTGGAAGTTCGACACGGCGGCCGAGGCCCAATACCCCCGACCGACCTCTATGTATGTCTTCGCATGGTCCAGGCGGCGTCCCAGGCTGTGAACCCCGCTTTGTTTGCAGACACGAGCCGAAGGTTCCGACTGCACTCCCTGGGCTCCGTGGCTGCTCTCGGCGAGCAGAGTGTAAAGCACGCGCCGCTCATACCTGAGTATCGCCAAGTCGTCTGGTCATCTCGTGTGCCGCCAGACGAGTGCAAACTCCTGCCGGATTACTCGCGTGAGCAGTGTGATGTTTCCCTGGACGATGATGAGGTCCCTTCATGGCCGGTGCCTTTGCCCCCGGCTAATCTTCAGGATCCCGTCCCCATGGACTCCTCGGCGACTGAGAAGCTAGCGTGGACACTACTCCAGCAACAAACTGCCTCTAGAGACGACATCTTGCAGCTGGTCAGCTTGTTGCCCCGGCCCACCCATTCCCGGAGACAGGCTTTGGCCACTGGATTGTCATGGATCGCTGGTGCATATGTCTTCTCGGCCGAGGTTGGACGGCATTCTTCAACGCGCTCGCTTCCTTTCACTACCAGCCTTCTGGCCCAGGTTCTGCAGCACTTCGCTCGCGACATTGTCTTTTCCTCCTTGGCCGTCTTCGCGGACTTCACCAGCCCTGAGCATAAGGATGTCCATAATGATCATCGATACTACAATGCGATTGTCCCTCTCTCCAAGTTCAAGCAGGGCGGCGTGCAAGTTGCTGGACAAGTCTTGCCAGTGTCATCTGGCCCCTGTTTTCTGCAATCCGGACTCCCTCATAAGGTCCTGCCGGCCATTGGTCAGCGCATCGTGCTGGTGGGGTTCACCATTCGATCGTGGGCGTCCCTCGCCGCTTCAGATGTCCATCTTCTTCGAAGACTTCACTTTAGTTGGCCGTCTGACTCTGAGCGTCCCTCCAACATGGCGGGGAAGGGTCGGCTGGAGGTCGCATCCACACCGGGGGAAGCCGAGAGCCTCGAGCTTGGGGAGTCTATCATTCTGCAGAAGAGCATGTGAAAGCTGCGGCGGACCTCGAGCACCCGGCTGAGTCGTCAGGGCCCAGACCGGACTCGCTGCGCCGAGCCATCTTCGACATCGCAACTCTTGGCCCACAGGAGTTGGCAGAAAGACGACTGAAGGCCATCTCCGAGATTGAGGAGAAAGCTCGAGAGTTCGGGCTCAACGAGGGTGACCCAATCACCAACAATAAGTGTCTTCGCATCTTCAGAGAGCTGGTGGAGGAAACGGAGTTCGAGGACCCGGAGGTGTGCAATTTCATGGAGAAGGGCGTGTCGCTGGTGGGAGGAGAACCTCCCTCAGACTTGTTCCCAAAAAGGCCTAAACCAATGAGAGCTACCCCGGAGCAACTTGACTCCCAGGCAGTCTGGCGGAGGAGAGAGCTCCTTTCGAAGCCTCCCAGAAACTTTCAGAGGAGGAGTTGTCCATCTTGAACGACGAGACTGACGCTGAAGTCGAGATGGGGTTCCTTGAGGGTCCGTTCCATACCGAACGAGAAGTCACCGATCGCCTGGGGACCGATGAGTGGTCTCCAGCCAGAGGTTCCTTCTCCTCCAGGGAGAGGACCGGAAGCCACGCCTCATGGACAACTCGGGGGTCAATGCATCGTTCGGATCGACCTCCCTTCTGCAACTCCACGACATTGATTTTGTGATGCCGCTCGCCATGTTTGTCTCTCGAGTGTGGAAAGATCGAGAGAGAGTGCGAGTTCCTCTCCGAGATGGAAGCGTACTTGAGGGTTCGTGGAATCCAGAGAGCAGGGACGCCTCTTGGATGGGGCGATGCTTGGACTTGTCAAAGGCCTACAAGCAGGTGCCGGTCCTAGCAGAGTCGCTCAGGTACGCCGTCATAGCGGTCCCCTCCCGATCTTCTCAGTGGACATTCTACATCGCACGTGGGCTACCGTTCGGTGGATCGGGGTCTGTTTACGCCTTCAACAAGATCTCCAGAGCCATTTGGCATATAGCTGTCACGAAGCTGAAGTTGGTGACGTCCGTCTATGTGGACGACTATCCTACCTTCGAGCTTCAGCCTCTCGCCGCGAACGCCTCGAACGTCTTCTCCAGGCTGCTGACGGCCCTGGGGTGGGTGCACGCCACGGAAGGCAAGAAGGCGGCGGATTTCTCGGAGCTGCCTTCGACTTCTCAAAGTTGCACGAAGGGGAACTGATTGTGTCGAACAAAGAAGGACGGCTAGAGCGCATCAGGACACTGGCTCAGAAGCTTCTGGACAAGGATTGCGATGTGAAGCAAGTGGCCGCTTCACTGCATGGCTTGCTCAACTTCGCGAGCGGGTTCGTCCTGGGATCAGCTCTCAAGCCCATCTCTAGGGCTTGCTCCAAACTGGCGGCGCGGCCGGCGTCGTTTGATGGCTACGGTGTCCACCGAGTTACGGAGCTCTTGAAGGCTGTCATCTCCAACACCAAGCCCAGGATCTTCAGAGTGTCGGATCCCACTAGGCCGCTGCCGGTCTACACTGATGGTTCATACGAGGACTCTATCGCCTTGTGGGGAGCCTTTGTGATTAACCTTCACACCGGTGAGAAACGAGTGCTCTCTGGGAGGGTGCCGGAGGCTATCAAGAAGTACTGGCTTGCCGTTGTAAGCAGATCATCTGCGAGATCGAACTGATCGCATTCTTGTGCGCTAAGTGGTACTACGGTCGCCAGATGAATGCTCGAAGAGGCTTTGTGTTCATCAGTGGTACTACGGTCGCCAGATGAATGCTCGAAGAGGCTTTGTGTTCATCGATAACAACTCGGCCTTAGCCACCCTCGTCAAGAGAAGCAGCCAGTCCGAGGCCATGTTTCGACTGGTCGCTGCCATCAGTGCCATGGATGCAATCTCCCCGTTTGGAGCATGGTACGAGAGAGTGCCATCTAAGAGCAACCCCTCCGATCTCCCCTCTCGGGGGGACGCGAGCTTACTGTGCCAGATGTTCGATGCCAAGAACGACGGAGAGTTCGAGGTCCCTGGCATAATCACTCAGTACATCACTCTTGAAGACTTTTCTCCAGCAGTGCTCGATGAAGCGATGCGTCTGTACTTTGAGATTCAGTCTGCACTAGTTTTGTTGTGCTCTTCCTGGTGGATGGATGGGTGGGTGGGTGAGTGGGCGGGCGGGATTTATATG